CATTCGAACACCCGGTGCTCAAGTGCTTCGTTGCGCCACAGAAGGCGGAGAATTGGAATAGGGGATAAGGCCGTGTGACTCTGCCAAGCAACCGCCAGGGGTTTTGGGGTCTGGCTTGCAGCCGCAGATGACGGCCTCCCGCCTGGACGGCTCAATGTCTTTTGCAAGGGTGTCGCCGCACTCGGGCGATTTGCATTTCGCACGCTTAGGTTAGGAAGGTGTTCTCCGCGCAAGGAGAATACGAGTCATGTGGCGAGCTTCTGCAACTTATGCACGTGAGTGCAGCAGCTAACTCCACGAAAAGAATCGCAGCAGATCCAGTGTGGTCAAGTCAGCTGAGCAAGCAAGTCGGTGGGTTTGCCACTCGCGACAGGTAGCTCTCGTCGAGGCGACTTTCGCAGCTCTAGGTTGATTCCGCTCTTCAGGGTGCCATGCCGAGATCCTCGAGTCTGCACGGAAGTTTTGCTCTGGACGGTCCGTGCCGTTCCTATTAGCCGGGCAGTTCTAAGATGCCCAAGGCAGCATAGCTTTGTCCGGTTTGTAGGTCATGGAAATGCCATTGTTCCGTCTTAGACCAGGGCTTGACGATCTCTTTTCCCTGCCGGGTGTGCAGTGGGCACCAGTGGGCTCTGCGGGGCCGCAGCTCAAAGGTCACGTTGCTTCTGGAGAGCAATTGAGACTGACCTGATCGAGCCTGATCGCAAAGACTGAGCTGCACGACAAGGCAGTGTGACGCCGAAGTCAAGCGATTGGAAGTGCTTGCACATGGCGCGGCACGTTGGGGTTGCAGATCGGTTCCGAGACACGTCGCATGCTCACGCGGATGTTGCCTAAGACTTTCAGGCAGAACGACGTTCGTAGATCTTTGACTGAAGCATCTGCGCATGCCCGCAGAGTGGAAGCTTGCTCCGCGTGGGGTTGGCAGCAGATCAAGGCGGTGCGGCAGGTCGCTCTCAGCGAGTCGACATTCGCAAGTCCAGGTTGATTCCTTTTTCCAGGTTGCCATGCAGAGCCCTGCATTCTCGAGCTTGCCATCACAGGTGTGCTCTCAGCATGTCGGCGGTGTCCACGAGAGGGTGCTTTTGCGTGCTTCGAACAGCCGGTTCTCACGTGCTGCGGCACACGACACGAATCGAAGAGCCGGATATAATCGGACTGGCAGACAGCGGGATGTTGGGGTTGTCGGTTCAGAGACACTTCGCATGCTCACGCGGATGTTGCCTGAGATTTAGAGGTTGCACGATCTTTGGGGGGATCTTTGTGGCTGAAGCTTTGCATAAATTTGCCCCGGGCAGGAGTGCCACGGTCCCATGCGATTCGTCTCGGGGTCTCCGGAAGTTGCTGGGAGCTCTAGTGCACGCGAGCCATCGTGCATTCCTGCAATCACCCACCAGCTTCCAGACGAAGATGGCTGGCTTGACGTTTCGGTGTGAGTACTTCGGTTCTTCCTTACCGAATCAAAGGAAGTGTGTCCAGCTCCAGGGAAGCGACTAGACTAGCAACCTTGATGCATGTCCCTTCATATGGGGCTAGCACATGGATGTTGTCGCTTCGGGCCCGCTTGGCTTCGTACGCACCTGCCCCATTTGAAGGAGCTTCCGGCACAGGGGAAGCAAGCAAAGTCAGAAAGATTGTAATCGGAATTGACCGCTTGTTTCTGGCGGAGCGAATCCATGTGAAAGAAGTTCAGCAGTTTCTCAGACTCGCAGCGCGAGCCCCGTGCTCGCTGTTCAAGCATCGGCACCGACACTACGACAGACTGACATGCAATAGCGAAGTGTCCTTCTGCAAGTCGACAAAGAAGTCCTTTGCAAAGAACTCCTGCTCCATGTGCGCAGTCTCTTCCCTCCAATCAAACCAGAAGACTTTCGTGGAGATTCTATCGGAGTTCGCAGGCGCCGGTCAACTGTAAGCCAAACTCACGGCGGCCCTTCAGGGTCAGAGCACGGCTCCACGCTCCCGCTCGGTCCTGATTCCGACACAGCTTGTTATTCCTCTTGCAGCATCCTTCTTCAGCTGACCTCAAGGCTCGCAGCCGGGGCGTCCCATGGGATGTCGCGACTCACATATCTTCGACATGCGTGCTCCTGGGGATGGCCGAGACGGAGGTGGTGGATCTTGGTTGCAAGCGGCTCAGCGAGTTGAACTACAGCAGATCCGTCACGGTCAGCTGCATGATGAGTTGATCTCCGGGCTCAAGGCAGCGCGGCAGGTCTCTCTCAGCGAGTCGACATTCGCAAGTCCAGGTTGATTCCTTTCTCCAGGTTGCCATGCAGAGCCCTGCATTCTCGAGCTTGCCATCACAGGTGTGCCCTCAGCATGTCCGCGGTGTCCGCGAGAGGCTGCTTGTCCCAGCTTCGGTACAACAAAGGGATCGATCAGCAAGACATAGCCGGACTAGCAGACAAAGCGGTGTGTCAAGCAATTAGAGGGTGGACCGAGATGAAGCTAGCAGCTGAGACAGAGTCCAACGTCGGGATGTCAGGATTGCCGATTTTGAATCACTTCGCATGATGACGCGGATGTTGCCTAAGGCCCAAGATGTGTATGGCGGAACGACGTTTGTGGACGTGTGGCTGAAGCATCTATCTGCACATGACCGTAGGTGCGAAGTCAGCAGCTTGAATGGCAGCACATCCAGAGCTGCCAGGTAGTTTTGTGAGCGCTTGATTCGGGTTCGCCACGCGGGGCGGCAAACAACTCTAATCGAGTCGACGTTAGCAACTCCAGCTTGATCGTGCCTTCCAGGCTGCCATGCAGAGCCCTGCAAGCTCGATTCCGTCCGAAGCATTCTTTCAGCACGTTTACATTGACCGCGACCAGCCACTACTCCCAGCTTCGAACACCAGGTGCTCGCGTGCTGCGGTGCACCACAGGAACTGCAGAACCGGACTAGCGGACACGGCCGTGTGCCAAGCAGCCGGGTGGACTGAAGTTAGGTTCGCTGCTGAGGCACAGTACAAGTTAGGCATGTGCAGATTTCTTGTTCGGAGACACTTCCTATGCTCACGGGGCTGTTGCCTGAATTCGAGGATCTTCGACTGCAGCGCATCGCCGTGGAAGCGACCTCAGCGCTTTGAATGGCAGCACATCCAGCGCTGCCAGCTAGTTGTATGAGCACTTGATCCGGGTTGGCCACGGGGCGCGGCAAGCAACTCTCGTCGAGTCGACGTTGGCAACTCCGGGTTAATCGTGCCTTCCAGACTGCCATGCAGAGCCCTACAAGCTCGATTCCGTCCGAAGCGTGCTTTCAGCACGTTTACATTGACGGCGACCAGCCACTACTCCCAGCTTCGAACACCAGGTGCTCGCGTGCTGCGGTGCACCACAGGAACTGCAGAACCGGACTAGCGGACACGGCCGTGTGCCAAGCAGCCGGGTGGACTGAAGTTAGGTTCGCTGCTGAGGCACAGTGCAAGTTAGGAATGTGCGGATTTCTTGTTCGGAGACACTTCCTATGCTCACGGGGCTGTTGCCTGAAGGAACTACATTCGCCTACGCCACTTTCCGGGTAGAGCAACACAGAGTGTTGCACAGCCGCCCTGCGTCCGGAGCGCTTTTGCATCATGTTGGCAGCGTTCTCCATGTCACCGTCGGCAGATTGCCGTCCTTTTCAGCTCTCTGGTCAGGTCTTCTCAGGCGGCTGCAGCCGTCGCGCGATTGGCAGACGAGGGCCGTAGTCCTCCAAAAGCAACTCGTGGCTGCGGGCCGCACTGTGCGCAAGGCCAGAACCTAGTCAGATCCCACTGCCGTAGGCAAAGCAAATATTGGCATAACCAGCCAAGCTCGCAGCGCCTGAGTGTGGCTTATGGATCCACACTTTTGCGGAGCCGTTGTTTAAAGATGTCGAGGGCGGCTAGATCAGTGCCTTGACAGAGGTGGCGTCAAGGAGAGGGTGAAGGACCAACATGTTAAGTACCAGATGCTAGGTTGCGGTTGTGTCTTCCGGACGTTCGAAAGCCTGGGGGGCCCTCGGCCGAGCCTTGCGGAGGTCCTATAAACAACTCGTTCTCCTTTGTCCTCTTTCTAAGAGGCGTGTTCACAAGCAGACGCCGTACGGCCACACCGGCGCATTCTGCGAGTTCAGCTGCAGTCGGCATTCCTGTCAGTCAGGTCTTGAAGTTGGCATCCGGGCTTCGTCCGTGAGCGCGTCGGGGGCGCTCGTCCCAATTGCATGGAAGACCAAAGCCTAATCAGCGCCCGCGGCCCGTGGCGAAGCATGCCTTGGACCAACCAGCCGAGCTCGCAGCGTCCGAGCTCGAAATTCGGATCCACACGTTTACGGAGATCTTGTGTAAATATGTGGAGAGCAGCGAGCGCTATGCTTGACACACATGGCATAGCCGGCCTTTCAACATCCGCACATGTAAACGTCAAAGGCTAGGTTGTGGCTTCCGGATGTTGGAAATCTGGGGCGGCCCTCGGCAGAGCCTCGCGGAGGTACTATAAACGACCCTTTGCCCTTTGCAAATGTCCGCTTGCGAAGAAACATGTGCCGTGTGGCCACGCAGGTGCATCATCAAGCAAAGTTGACCAGAGGCCTTGGATCACAACATCTGCGAAGTGATTTCTCTTGCTCAGCATGCTCCAGTCAAGTAGTCAGTCATCCCGGGTCGGGGGACTTCAGCTGTCTTGTGGTTGGCAGGCGGGGGTCGTCTGTGAGCGAGTAGGGCTTGCTCGTCCCAGCTGCATGCAAGACCACGGCTTGCTGAGATGCCGCAGCGCTGAGCGAAGTGCCCCTTGGCACAACCTGCCAATCTCGCAGCATGCGAGTTCGGATGGCGGAGCCATGCGGCGCCCCACTTTCCCACGCAAAGGGCATCGTCGGCCTGTGCAGCTGATCAGCTGCCCTCCCTCCCGATCTCATGTCACATGCAGCAGGCAGTCGTCTCCATTCATGTCGCTCCGGTCAGGTAGTCTCAGGCGGCTTCAGCGATCGCACGATTGGCGGGCGGGTTTTCGGGGTGCCGGTCCCAACTGCGTGCAAGACCAGGGCCTCATCAGCCCCCGCAGCAACCGACGAAGACCCCTTGGCACAACCAGCCGAGCTCGCAGGCATTTAAGTTCGGATTTCGGCCAGGCTGGCAAGGTGTGGTGAGGTCACCTCTCCGGGTCGTCGTCTCGATGCAGTGCTGGGCCATCCCGCATCCTGCCAGGCCACACAGTTCCTTTTGGTCATCCTGCACGCCTGGAAACAGCTGCCTTGCGACGACCGAAGGATGCTGCCGACGTGCCGGCATGTTTGAGGCCTGTCTGCCGGCACTGCTCTGAGCACTTTCCTGAGTGTGTCCTCCGCGATGAGATGTGGGGGTCAAGAGGTGTCGAGTGACCAGCATCAGAGTCGCAAGGACAAGGGAGACCTGGGCATTCGGACAGTCGGCTTCGGCCGACCGCGTCTGCCTGCTGCAAGATTGGTTGGTTCGACGACGTCTATGAAAAGTGGGGCTGCCCGTGTGCACTCTTCCAGCAATCCTTGGTGCCTGGCGTCAGTGTGATCGGCTGATCGTGCCGGCGCCCATGGGCCAGCCAGGAGCCACACTGGACGCTGACGCGAGCTGGGCCATGGCAGCGGCATTGTGCTCCCCGGTTGAGACCCTCTTCGATTTGCAGCTTCGCATCTCGAGTCCTTGCATTCCACATGCCCGAGAGTGCCTACTTCGCACCCTGCTCCGACGCAGTGCCCGTCGAAGTGCAGCGGGTGCTGACGCAAGCAGGGGCAGCGCGGCTCTGAGTGAAATCAAGACAAAGACCTTCCACGCGCAGCTTCTCGCCGGCGCAGGCAACATGAAGCAATGCCTGATGAGCCGTATTGTGTCATTTCGGCATGTGAGTGAGCGCGTAGGGGGCGTTCGTCCCAATTGCATGGAAGACCAAAGCCTAATCAGCGCCCGCGGCCCGTGGCGAAGCATGCCTTGGACCAACCAGCCGAGCTCGCAGCGTCCGAGCTCGAAATTCGGATCCACACGTTTACGGAGATCTTGTGTAAATAGGTGGAGGGCAGCGAGCGCTATGCCTCGCACACATGGCATAGCCGGCCTTTCAACATCCGCACATGTAAACGTCAAAGGCGCGGAGGTACTATAAACGACCCTTTGCCCTTTGCAAATGTCCGCTTGCTAAGAAACAGGTGCCGTGTGGCCACGCAGGTGCATCATCAAGCAAAGATCGGCAGCCGGCAGGCGGGGATCTTCTGTGAGACTGTAGCGAGTGCGGCTGGCGGCGGTCGCCATGACCAAGGCTTGATGGGCTCTCGCAGGCCCGGGGCCACTTGGCCCCAAGCGAAGCTCGCAGCATCGGCCTTCGGATCCTTCGGATTTCGGAGCCTTACGTACACCACTTAACGAGCCATCGTCGGGCTGCGCTGCGCCGCCCTTGAGGGGCCGCCAGGTGGTTTTGGCCTTGTCGGCGAGTTCATGTCGCTGTCTCTGTTTGTTCATCTCGCTCCAGTCAGGTAGTCTCAGGTGGCTTCAGCGAACACTCGATTGGCAGCTGCGGGTCCTCCGTCAGCGTTTTGGGTGTGCCGATCCTAGCTGCGTACAGGACCAAGGCGTAGTCAGCTCGCGCAGCAACAGACAAACAACTTCCTTGTCAGAACCAGCCGAGCTCGCAGCATCCGAGTTCAGATTTCGGCGGGGTTGCATGGTGTTGTAAGGCTAGGGTGACATGCTGTTCGTCTCGGGTTCGTGATCTTCTCTTTCGCGGCCGCCGCATCTTGCCAGATTGCCAAAGTGCGGTGCTTTCCTTCCGTCTTGCGCGCCTGTCAACGGCTGCATTTCGACGAGAATCGAAGGATGTTGCCGATGCTCCAGTATGCTTGAGGCCCTTCTTTCAGCACTGAAACGGCATATCCTGAGTATGGTCACGGCCACACACTACACGGGTCAACAGTTGTTGCAGGAAGTGATCAGCATCCGAGTCGCTCATTCAAATCGATCGAAGCCGACCGTGTTTGCTCTAAGATCGGTGAGGTAGAAAGGCTGGACCCCCGTACTCTGTCAGCAATCAACGGTGCCTGCCCTCAACGTCACCGGCTGATCTTGCCAGGTAACAGCGGAGCGCACACAAAATTGGGACCCCCCCTTCGACTTGCTTCGCATTTTGAGGCTTTGCATTCCTCATGCCCCACGATACCTTGCACTCTGCTCCGGGACAGCGCCTGCCAAGTGCTGGTGGTGATTCTAGCATTAGTCTGCGCAGTCCACATGGCTTAAGCGTTCTTGCCATAAGCAGGCGAGGGTGCTCGTGACCGTTTTGGCGAAGGTCGCAAGCCCAAGGCCTAGGCCACTAGGTCACTAGGCAGCTTCAGCCTGTCCACCGCACATCCTTCCAGTCCACAGGGTTCCTTGTCCTGGACCCCTGGAAGCTGCTTTTCCACAAGAATGGAGGAATGCTGCCGATGCGGTCGGCTTGAGGCCCTTCTGTCAGCGTTGCTATGAGCACCTTCCTGAGTGTGGTTTCCACGAAGCGGTGCAGGCGAAAGGAGGTGCCGGAGGAAGTGATCAGCATCAGAGTCCCGAGGACATGGTAGCCCTTGGTGTTCGAACTCCGGCGAAACTGACCGTTTCTGCTTGCTCCAAGATTGGTTGGCAACCTCTATTTATGTTCGAGTTCATGTCTCTTGCAGCAGGCAGCCGTCTCTGTGCATGGCCGGTGAGAGTACTCCGTTGGCATGTTGTGGGTTCCGGATCCGGCTTCATCCAAGACCAAGGCTTGATCAGCCCCCGCAGCAACCGGGCTAAGTCCGAGCTCGTAGCATCTGAGTTCGAGTTCGGATTTCGGACCCCGGCGCATCGGGTTTCGCCACGGCAACGCTCTAAGACTTTAAGACTTCAAGTTGCAGCAGCAGCCGTCGTTCATTTCGCTTCCTGGTCGTAGTCTCAGGTTGTTTCAGCAGTGCAGTGGGCAGGGTCTTCCATGGGCGTCTTGGGAGCGCTCGCTGCTTGCAAGCCCAAGGCATGATCAGTTCCCACATGCCGGGAGAAACACCCATCGGCGCAACAAGCCGAGCTCGCAGCATCCGAATCCACAGACGTAGGGCCACGGTGGGACACCGTTCGTCTCGGGATCATCGGCTCCTACAGGAGATGCCGAGCCGCTGATCTTGATTTGTTCCCGCAAGTAGCCAGCAGCACGAAGAAGAAGATAGCTGGTAGCTGGTCTTGCATGTCAGGGACAATTCTTCGGATCGTCGTTTCTCGGCTGCCGAATCGTAAGCACTAAAGTGAGCTCTATGCAGGCTTTAGGAAGTGACTAGACTAGCAGCTTTGGTGACCAGACTTCCTAAACAAGAGACTTCGAAGGTGGAGCCGAGGTGCTAGTAATGCCTGGCTGGTCGCCGCTTCCAGCACTGGTGATGGCAGCAGAGGCAGCCACGTGCATGTTACCGCTTCTGTCGGACCGTAAGAGCATGGAAAAAGTCCGGGCAGTTTTCCGAATCGAAGAAGGTTCCTTTTCCTTCTGCTTCCTGCTGCTCTGGCACCGACACCGCGATGGCAAAACGACACGAAATTCCGAGATAGCCTTGGGCAAAGAGGTCTCCATCGAAGAACTCCTGCTTCACTCGCCGGGCTTCTTACCCCGTGCCAAGTCATGTGGAGACTTTGGCAGAGACTCTATCGGTGTTCGCAGAAGGCACTCGTGATTGTAAGCATCGAACCCCACCACACCAGCCCCTGGGGCACCGTTAAACACGCGCACAGCTCTTTCTCTTCTATGGAATCGCTCGGTCCTGTTGATGCCGACACGCCGACATGTTTTTCGCACTGCTGTGGGCGCATCTTGAGCGGAGCGACATAGGCTCGTAGCTGAAGCTGCTTTCAAGGTGGGGATGCCGCAACCTGTGCTTCTTAGTCTCACCTTGCAGACTCATGCGGATGCTTAGACTATGGCTTGGCCGTGTCATTGCGCAGTGGACATGGGTGGAATCTGCGCAATTTTCCTGCCCTTACTCAGGCCTTTGCTGGGTCAGCTTCGCCAGCAATTTACCTGGTACCTGCATCAGGGCCGTGTCACTCTGATCGAGGTCGGCTTTCGGCTGTCAAGTTTCAACATAAAATCTTACGGAGTGACGGGCATAGCAGCAGGGCCAGCTTGGTCAGCTGCACGTGCACTTAATCCGGGGTTTCCGGCAGGTGCGGCATGTTTCTCTCATCGAGTCGACTGTCGCAACTCAACGGTGATTCAGATCTTCAGGCTGCCATGCAGAGCCCCTCGTTCTCGACTCTGCTCGAAAAGGGGTGCTTGCATGTTTGTGTGGTCCACGAGAGGCCACGTCACCGAGCTTGGAACACCTGCTGTGCTGCTGTTTTGTTGCACGACAGGCGCCACATACTTCGACTAGCGGACAAAGCCGTGTGACCCTGCAGCCAAGCCAGGGCGGACAGGGCAGACTGAAATCAGGTTTGTAGCGGAGGCAGCGGTCAATGTCTTCATGCCGCGACTCTCCGTTCTAAGACACCTCGCATGCTCACGGAGATGTAGTCTGAGACCGTCCGTTGCGCTCAGCTGCATGTGCACATCATCCTCGGTTCCTGAATGGTGCACCCAGATGTTCTCGTCGAGTCGACTTTCGTCGCAGCGCGGTCAACATCATGTGCACTTAATCCGTGGTTTTGGGCAGGTGCAGCATGTTTCTCTCATCGAGTCGACTGTCGCAACTCAACGGTGATTCAGATCTTCAGGCTGCCATGCAGAGCCCCTCGTTCTCGACTCTGCTCGAAAAGGGGTGCTTGCATGTTTGTGTGGTCCACGAGAGGCCATGTCACCGAGCTTGGAACACCTGCTGTGCAGCTGTTTTGTTGCACGACAGGCGCCACATACTTCGACTAGCGGACAAAGCCGTGTAACCCTGCAGTCAATCAAGCACAAGGCGGACCGAAAATTAGACTTATAGCTGAGGCATCTGCAGTTTGTCCGCAGTTTCCGCGAGGAGCAGAAGATAACTTTCATCGAGTGGACTTTCGGAACTCGAGGTTGATTCCCACCTCCAGCGTGCCACGCGGATCCTTGCTTTGTCGAGCCCGACTGCTGCTGTGCTTTGGTGCACCACAGGAGCCGCTGAATCAACAAGCGAACAACGTTCTGCAGACCAGAAGGGGGTTCAACCGAGATTAGGCTTGTAGCTGTGGTTGCGTCCAGCATAGGAATGTCGCGACCCCGCATGCTCACGGCGATGTGGTCTGAGACCGACCAATGTTAGTGGTCAGGCTGAAGCCTCTGCACAGCATAAAATCTGACGCAGTGACGGGGATAGCAGCAGATCCAGCTCGGTCAGCTGCATGTGCAATCAGTCCGCGGTCTCTGCGGGGAGCGGAAGATGACTTTCATCGAGTGGACTTTCGCAACTATAGGTCCCTAGGTTGATTCTCATCTCCAGGGTGCCATTCGGATCTCTGCATTCTCGAGCCCGACTGCTCAAGTGCTTCGGTGCACCACAGGAGCCGCTGACTTGACAAGGCTCCGCAGACCAGAAGCGGGTGAACCAAGATTAGTCCGGAGGCCGAATGTGGGGATGTCGCGACTCTCCGTTCTTTAAGACTCTTCGCATGCTCGCGGCGATGCTGGCTGAGAGGGAAGGATGTCTGTGGGTCTCCTGCTGGCGAATCTTCACGTCACTGTAGAAGCTTTCTGAGCGAATTGAACAGCAGCAGATCCAGCTCGGACAGCTGCCTGTACAATCAATGCGGTGTCTCTGCGAGGCGCGGCATGTTGCTCTCATAGGGTCGACTGTGGCAACTCAACGGTGATTCAGATCTTCAGGCTGCCATGCAGAGCCCCTCGTTCTCGACTCTGCTCGAAAAGGGGTGCTTGCATGTTTGTGTGGTCCACGAGAGGCCACGTCACCGAGCTTGGAACACCTGCTGTGCAGCTGTTTTGTTGCACGACATGTGCCAGAGACTTCGACTAGCGGACAAAGCCGTGTAACCCTGCAGCCAAGCCAGGGCAGACAGGGCAGACTGAAAATAGGTTTGTAGCGGAGGCAGCAGTCAATGTCGGCGTGTCACGACTCTCCGTTCTAAGGCACCTCGCATGCTCACAGCGATGCGGGCTGAGACGGAACGGCATTTGTGGGTGTTCGGCTGTAAAGTTTTCGCATCAACATAGCATCTTACGGAGTGACGGGCATAGCAGCAGGGCCAGCTTGGTCAGCCGCATTTGCACTTAATCCGTGGTTTCCGGCAAATGCGGCATGTTTCTCTCATCGAGTCGATTGTCGCAACTCAACAGTGATTCAGATCTTCAGGCTGCCATGCAGAGCCCGTCGTTCTCGACTGTGTCGAAACAGGGACGCTTGCATGTTTGTGTGGTCCACGAGAGGCCACGTCACCGAGCTTGGAACACCTGCTGTGCAGTTGTTTTGTTGCACGACAGGCGCCAGAGACTTCGACTAGTGGACAAAGCCGTGTGACCCTGCAGCCAAGCCAGGGCAGACAGGGCAGACTGAAATCAGGTTTGTAGCGGAGGCAGCGGTCGATGTCGGCATGCCGCGACTCTCCGTTCTAAGGCACCTCGCAAGCTCACGGAGATGTAGTTTGAGACCGTCCGTTGCGCTCAGCTGCATGTGCACATCATCCTCGGTTCCTGAATGGTGCACCCAGATGTCCTCGTCGAGTCGACTTTCGTCGCAGCGCGAGGTCAACATCATGTGCACTTAATCCGTGGTTTTGGGCAGGTGCAGCATGTTTCTCTCATCGAGTCGACTGTCGCAACTCAACGGTGATTCAGATCTTCAGGCTGCCATGCAGAGCCCTTCGTTCTCGACTGTGTCGAAACAGGGACGCTTGCATGGTTGCCTGGTCCACGAGAGGCCACGTCTCCGAGCTTCGAACTTGTGTTCGGGTGCCTTGGTGCAGTACAGGCGCCAGAGACTTCGACTAGTGGATAGAGGCGTGTGAAGGCAAGCACAGGATGGATCGAACCAAGTTGGTAGCCGAGGCAGCAGCCAATGTGAGGCTGTCTCGACCCTCAGCATCTTGGCCGGAGTACCGATGTGGACCTGCATTGCTTGGAGAAGGCGTGGTGGTCGCGTGGTTCCGCGTATCAGGGAAGCTCCCGAAAATGAGGTGAACAGGATCCGCACGGCGCGCTGGATCGGCTTCCGTATGAGTCTCTGCGAATGCCAGCTTGGGCAGTCCGACACTGGCTTCTGCCCCAAGTGCAGACTGAAAACGATTCGGCTTGCCGATTCCAAGCGTGTTGATTCGGAGAACATATTCGGAGACTTGCACCCGGCTCGCGATGCATTGCTGGACTGCCCACTTGCAGCTTCTTTTCATGAGTATGCCGGCAAGGGCAGGGGCTGCGCCAGAGAGCATGCTGTGAAGTTCCGGCTCTTCACTGGCTGCAGAACGCGGGCCTGCATCATTCGACTTGAGCAAAGTGCTTGGCAGACGAGGGCATCTCGGGTCGGGGGGATCACGGGCTACAGTTTGGTGGCTGGGCCAGCTGCTTTCACCATCTCTCCACGGCGCCATCTTGGCACATTACGCCGATGCGAGATAACCTGCGGACGCCAAACGGTGCCTCGGGTCCGTCTGGAAGCCGCAGCACGGAGTCGGCATTGCCAGGCTGCCAGGCTGCTAGACATCTGCTAGACCATGGCTTGATGGTTGCCGTAGCTCTTGAAGCTGGCTCTGCCTCCGCCTGGCTCGCGGCTCGCAGTGGAGAACTAACTTCTGGTCACAGCGACTCCAGCGTGTCCGGAAGGCCGTGCCGCTTTTGCTGATCTCAGCTCCCGGGATCTTGGTGAAGCTTGTGAGATGAGACCCTGCATCGTGGGCCACCGACTGGGCGTGCTGAGATCAGCTGGGAGTCCCAAGAATGACTCGACTCTGCTTGCATTAAGTCGAAAACCCCAGTGTGTGACAGGCTGCGCAGGTATCTGCTGCAGTCTTTTCTGCAAGCTTCTGCAGGCCAGGCACATTAGCAGCAACCTCCTGGTTGGCGAAGCTTGTTTTGGGCCGGTGTGAAGAGGCAAAGCTAAGCTCCAGGAATGTCCATTCCGCAGATTGGCCGAGCGCTTCCCCTTCATTTATCCAGAGGCCTGTCCTGCTGACGGAGAAACCCTAAGCGCGAAAGCCTGAAGCGCAGAGCGCACCCCTCCAAAGCCTCCCAGAAAGCAGGGCCCCTTTTTCCCTGACGGGAGCCAGCTCCTGTGAATCGGAAGTTCACAGAAGCCTTGGCAGAGCTTTGAGGGAGCTGGCCTTAACTGCGCTGGGCCGCCTCCTAGTCCTGGCCCACGCTTTCCGGAGGCCAACGTCGCTGCCCCGACGACAGCGTGCACCCGGCACCTTCGGTGTGGCCTCCGAGCCCGTCTTTTCCAGAGGGATGCTTGGAGGGGTGTTGCAAGACAGATGCAACTGCTTGTTGCAACTGTGTGCTTTTTCTGCTTTCCGTAGCCTTTCTCGCAGTGGCCTTGTGCAGCTTGACATACTGTGTGTGCATTGAGGGGATGTCGGAGTAAGAGCAGGGCCAGGGCATCGTTTCGTGGATGCTTCTGTCCTGGAGTCACCGCCTCTGGGTGTCGGCCCAGAGGTCACGGCCCTCGGCCCTCGCCGCGTCGCCACGAGCATGCAGTGACCAGAAGGGACAGGTCGTGAGTGCCCCTTTGGCAACGTGCCCGTCGTCGGGTGAGATGTTGCAGGATGGAGGCCTGATGAGCTGCCCGGTCCGAAGTGGCCCGGTTCAGCTTTCAGAAATGCCTGCCTCAGCCCAGGAATTATTGCTAGGGCCACTAGGAGTAGGAAGAGCTGAAAGCCGGAGGAGCACCCAATGATGCCGCAATGATCCGCCACTGAGCTGAAGCTATTCGCACCGGTCGCACAGCGCCAAGCGCCAAGTCGGGTCAAGCATATCGTGCCGTGCCAACGTCTATCACTGAGGCTCCTTTGTGAGGGCCCTCGCCTCTAGGCCTATCGGAGAGCTTGCTCTGGCACGGAAGCATGCTGCGATTGGTGGCGGCTCGTTGCAGCTGCAGAATATCGAGACGAGCGGCTTTGCCCGTTGATGTAGGCACGAAAAGAGGTTCGTTAACAACTGAGCCACGGAGGCTGACTCAAGGCGCTTGTTGCTGTCAGTGCTGGAGCCATCGCGGTCGCGGTGGATGTGGAGGCTGGCCTTTGTCCTGTGCACTCGGTTTGGCATCAGCCGATTGCTTGCCGGATGCAAGCCTTCTCGAAGCGAAAACCGGCAGTGTACCTGCTATATGCAGGTCACCCGGAGACGCAGAGGCTTTGTCATTTAGAAGCTGTGGTCATCTTCGCCATCGTTGCCGGCCTTGCCGACCGTATTCTTTCCTTCGGAAATAGGACTGTGCCACCGAGCGCGACCCTGAGCACCCTCATCCCGTGCTGCTGCATGGCTCTGAAGGATTCCTGGCTTCTGCTTCCCTCTTCGCCAGTCCCGTCTGCAAACATCCAGCTTGCAGGAGACACCCCGCTGCTGCAAGTGTTGGAAATTCGGGGCCGTTGGCATAAGCTTCAGTTCGGTTCTCCAGATGCACAGCCGTGGACTCCAGTCCCCAGCTTCCGGGCACGGTGTTGTGCTGTGAGGGTGACGACGAAATGCAGATGCCGTGCCCTCACTTCCCTGCAGCCTGCGTCGCGCTGCCTCGTGCTCCGGGTACCTGGCGGTTTCCGGTGCCGATTAACTCCCAGAGCACAGCGCACCAAGAGGCCGGCAACTGTGCACCAGATTCGGCCATCGTTGCCTCGGTGTTCCACGCTTCCGTCTTGTAGGAGGAAGCGTTGCAGAGGCTTCTGTCTGTAAATCCCTCGGCACCAAGAGCATCAGTCCACAAATCCTCAAGAGTCGTCACTGACGCACTAAAGGCCACCAGCCCAGCGATCCCGCATCCCAAGACATCCCTCATGGACCTCGGCTAAGTGAGTCAGGGGTGCTTTCAACAAAATGCTGTAGCAATGCCAGCAGATGTCAGGTTCTTTCAGTGTAAGGGCTCCTCCGATAAATGTGGTGCATATCCACTAGGCCAGCATCTGCTCAAGCATGTGCCTGGCAAGCTGTAAGCCCCGCCCAGAAAAGCTTGCAATATTTGCTCTGCCGGACGTGGAGCATGCGTCGCGCAGCAGCTTAGGGAGCGGAAGTTTTCCTGCCATCATGCACTGCCCCAAAGCGAAGGTAGTCCAAACACGGGGTGCATCCGGAATTGTAGAGCAGCGCCAGCGCTGAGGGGTACCTGAAGGGTGCACCGCAGCTTCTTCTGAACAAGACTAGCAACAAGTGCATTGGAGGCTGAGGCATCCGTTCAACCTCGTTTGTGTTTGAGCTCTGCTTCCCTGAAGCATTTTCCTACTTGTGCCGCGGCCTGACGTCGAAGCCTCTGGTTTCTGATGCAGGGTATTCAGGTCTTTTGCAGCAATTGTCGCTCCGGCAGGGCCTAAAGGCCACCAGCCCAGAGGGCCCACATCTTCAGACATCCCTCCTGGACCTTGGCTGAGTGAGTCAGTGGTGCTTTCAATAAAGTTCAGTAGGCTCAGGGTGCACCACAGCTGCTTCCAGACGAAAAGATAAGAAGTTTGGAGCAACCCGTGCACCGGAGGCTGAGGCATCAGCTTATCCTCTTTTCTTAAGCTCGGCCGTTTGCCTGAAACATGTTTCTGATTGTGCCGCAGGCTGACATCCAAGCCTCCTCGGGTGTCTAGTGGAGGACGTAGCAGGTGTATTGGGGTCTTTTGCAAGGGTTTTGGTTCGGGGATGCCGGCGGCCTCCTTGCAGTTGCAGGTTGCACCTTTCTTAGACGCAGCGTGATGCAAGATGCCTGAACTTTTTAGTCGGTGGCTGGACGAATGTGCGCATTCTGATGTCACATCGCTTCTCGAATCCGAGTCTTTCAACAACAACAGCAACAACAACAACCCGACGAAGCAGATAAAATTGTGCTTGGCTGGGGTCTGCTGACGACCGTAACGGTTCCTAAACGGCATGGAAACATCGCCGAACGATGCCTCCCATCTGCACCTTCTACGAAGGCTTGTGCCGCCGTGATCTTGATGGCACGGAATCCTTATGACAAGCTCGTAGAAATCTTCATGCTGCGGCAGTCGGAAGGAAAGCTTGGCGTCGAAGATCTGGGTTAGTTGCAAATTCGCTGTTTCCATGGGTTGTAGCGGGGAGGCATACCTCAAAGCCGGTGATGTCGATTGCGCGAATCCCGCAACCGCCCCCTCCCACAATGGCCAGTCGTAATCTAAGCTTGACTTAGGCGTTGGTATGGCAAACGCAAAATTTGGACCTCGCCCGGTGCAGCATCGCTCTTGTCTCGTTTTGTTCGAGACGGACTCTGGCAGCAATGTCCGGCAGGGCCGCGATTGTTGCTCCTCTGCAAGCATCCAGGTTGCAGGAGACACCCAGCTGCTGCAAGTGTTTGAACACCGGGAGCTTGCTGTCACCCAGTTTTGCTGTGAGCGCCACGGGCGAAATGCAGCTTCCGCGCCCTGGCTGCGCAGCAGAGTGGCTTCGAGTACCTGGCAAATTTCAGGTACGACCGGTCAACTCCCAAAGCACAGCGCACCAAGAGGCCGGCAATTGTGCACCAGATTCGGCCATCGTTGCCTCGGTGTTCCAAGCTTCCGTCTTGTAGGAGGAAGCGTTACAGAGGCTTCTGTCTGTAAATCCCTCGGCACCAAGAGCATCAGTCCGCATTTCCTCAAGAGTCGTCACTGACGCACTAAAGGCCACCAGCCCAGAGATTCCGTCCCCCAAGACATCCCTCATGGACCTCGGCTAAGTGAGTCAGGGGTGCTTTCAACAAAATGTTGTAGCCATCCCGGGACCGGTTGCGTGTGCAGCAGCTGCTTCCAGACGAAAGGAAACCAGATGTCGAACAACTAGTACACTGGTGGCAGAGGCATCAGTTCAATCTTGTCTATGCTCCTGTTTGGGCTGCAGGCTGACATTGAAGCCTTTTCTTGATTCTGGCGGAGGATGTGGATTGCAAAAGATTTCATTCTGCACGGCCACCAGCCCAGAGGGCCCACATCTTCAGACATCCCTCCTGGACCTTGGCTGAGTGAGTCAGTGGTGCTTTCAATAAAGTTCAGTAGGCTCAGGGTGCACCACAGCTGCTTCCAGACGAAAAGATAAGAAGTTTGGAGCAACCCGTGCACCGGAGGCTGAGGCATCAGCTTATCCTCTTTTCTTAAGCTCGGCCGTTTGCCTGAAACACTTTTCTGTTTGTGCCGCAGGCTGACATCCAAGCCTCCTCGGGTTTCTAGTGAAGGACGTAGCAGGTGTATTGGGGTCTTTTGCAAGGGTTTTGGTTCGGGGATGCCGGCGTCCTCCTTGCAGTTGGTCGTACTTTTTGTTAGACTCTGTTTGATGCCAGCTGCCTGGCGTCCTCGTCGCTATCTGGACGCAAATGCATTGCCCGACGTCGCATGCATTCCGGGCCACCCACTTCTCGAATCTCGGTCTACCACTACAAGTAGCACACAGTGTCGAGAATGACTGGCTGGGGCTGGGGCCTGATGGCGACTTTGAAGGCTCTCAGGCGACATGGAACCATCGCCGAACGATGCCTTCCATGTGCACCTACGAAGGCTGGCACCGTTATCCTGATGGCAGGGAGTCTTGTCAAAAGCTCGTAGAAGCCGTCACGCCCCGATTGTCGGAAGGAAAGATGATCGCTGAAGATGTGGGTTGATTCTGCACTCTGCACATTCGCTACTTTGCATGCCTTGTACCAGGGGAGCATATCTCAAGTCAGTGTCGTTGACTGCCCAAATCTTGCAACCTTCTCCTGCCAACATGGCCAGTGCCCTGCTCGGGTGCACTCATGTAGCTCGAAATGTGAACTTGACTTAATGGTTGGCATAATCGTGGCAAAGGTTGGACCTCTCTCACCGCATTCTCGATCTTGCCTGGTTCTGTCCGGAGTGCCTCACAAGTTTGGCATGGGTGTTGAGAATAGCTCTGGCTGCAATGCCAGGGTGATCAGCCAGGCCTGGCTGGGTCCCCCAGAAGTTGATGCCGCGATTGCTGCCAGCACGCCTGCAAAATTCATGGTTATGGCACGGCCGGTGCTCCTCAATCCAGGGATATTCCGACTCATGGGTCCGGGTCAGTGCTCATGCACCCCCAGGCAAGACAGGTTTTGGAGAAGGACACCCAGCGAAGCCTCGTCTCGAAGAACGCCCTTGTGCGCTGTGCGGTGGCCGTGTATTGGTCTCAGCAGCTAGGTGCTCCGCCAAATCTTCCTCCCGCGGAGGCAGGGTGCTGACTGTAGGTGGGGGCGCTGCGCATGCGGAGGTTCATCGGGCCATCGGTTGATCCTGAACGATTTTGTAAATCACGATTATATCATACATGCATGAATCTGTATGAAGGCTTCATTTGAAGTCATTTGAATGTTCCGAAGCACGAGCTACTCGTAGTAATCGTAGTAGTTTCGCAGCAACCCGCTCGAGCAGGCATGCTTTGTATGAGGCTCTGTCGTGTGAGGCGCGTGCGAAAGATAGAAGCGACGTGCCTACATGCAGATGTCATGTCCCGAATCTTAACATCTAGGCCCAGCATACTCTCCCGAAGCAACCAATGAGAAAGACATCATCACAGACTTTTCTGTGCAGGACTGGGACATCTCTTGCCATCTGTGAGAGCTTGGCTGCCCAGTGCGGCCCCGGTTGGCACTTAGACGTAGTGGGAGCTGTTCGCCGAAGCGGCCTGCGGCTAAAGAAGCTCGCGCTCCGTGGATGGCGTCCCCCGAAACACCTCAACATTGATATGAACTAGAGGTGCAACACGAGATGCTACTTGCATGCTTAGGTATGCAGGTATGTAAGTGCATGTATACGTGGACGTTTCGATCTATTTGTACATCGATTCAGAACACGACATGTCTGGACAAACATGTGAGCATGCGTCGCTGCTGCAGTGGCCAAGCTGAGTGGACACACCGAGCATGAGTGCTGTATCTAGGTGCTTACTTGTATCAAGTATGCAGTCCTTCGGAACATATGACCAAGTAACTGCATATACATATATATATATATATATATACAAGTGTGTGTGTGTGTGTGTGTGTGTTTGTGCGCGCGCGTGTGTGTGTGTGTGTGTGGAAAGTTCATATATACATGTACATACACACACATATATGTACGTATGTATATATATATATACATATGTATGTGTATGTGTATGTATATGTGTTTAATGTATATTGTATGATGCATAATGTATATGCATATGTACAATGTATGTTGATTGTTTGGTCGTCTGTTTGTCCGTCTGTCTGTCTGTCTGTCTGTCTGCATGCATGTATACGGAAAGCGTAGATTATGCTTTGGGTGTATGTATGCCTACATGCCTACACACGGCACTACATTTGCACTTACATGCACACACACACACGCACTCCGTGTATACACATATATATATATGTGTGTATATGTATATGTATATGTATATGTATATGTATATGCCTCTGCCTCTGGATCTGTATCTGTATCTGTATCTGTATCTGTATATGTATATGTATATGTATCTGTATATGTAAATGTATATTTATATGTATATGTATATGTATATGTATATGTATATGCATATGCATATGTATATGTATATGTATATGTATATGGATATGGATATGTATATGCATATTCATATGTATATGTACATGTATATGCATATGTATATGTATATGTATATGTATATGTATATGTATATATATATATGTATATGCATATGTACATGTATATGTATATGTATATGTATATGTATATGCATATGTATATGTATATGTAGCCGGGTGCTGGATTTAAGACGTACCTTGGTTTAACTAAATGTTTCTGGTGTTTGAAAGCGAAAGTTTAAACGACATCGGGTGTTTACCATAAGATCAGGTGGTAAGGCTGAAGTAGGTAATTAGGCCCCGCACCCGGCATAAATGTGTTTGATAAGTCTTTAGTGCCGTGTCAGTGGTCAGTTGTTTGGGCTGCAGGGTTTAAAGTTTGAGAAATGTGCCCAGCACCCAGGGGCGTCTTACATATTCGGTCGTATTTAAGAGCCGAAGAATAGGTAATTCGGTAGGATTGCAATAGCGAAGCAACAGGAAGGCTTTGTCAGAGCAGAACTTGTGTGGAGTCTGTAAGGACCCCGAGCAAGGTGGGAATTGCAAGGATCTCTGCATTTTGTAGACACTCACAGGGGAACAGGGGGCGTCTTGAATCCCGCGTCCACGTATATGTATATGTATATGTATATGTATATGTATATGTATATGTATATGTATATGTATATGTATATGTATACATGCATATACATGCACAGATAGATCAGTCACGCACGTGTCCATGCATCCATCCATCCATCTATCCATCCATCCATCATCCATCCATCCATTCATCCACTCATTCTTTGCTTGTTTTGGTGCATTTTGCCGTTGACCTCTTGTTTTCGGTGCAAAAAACACAAGGGGCAAATCGATGAGTCTGGGATGTCTGGCGCTGTTTCGCAGTGTGTAAGGGAGAAATGGACCCAACACAGAACTCACACAGTGTTATACTTATACAGATCCCTTGTATCAGGCAACCCTCATTTACCAGCCCCGTATGCACTGACCTGCAGTCGTCCATGAAACCCACCCACAGCTACTACATACTTTGGCTCGTTTGACAGTCACATTCTCTGCTGAGAGCCCCAGTGTTGGGAGTCGACTGGTGTGGGTGTTGTAGAAGAGAAGCAGCATTCGGAGCTCGTGCAACCTTGGCTCAGGCAGGGCTTTCCCTGTGGTCAATGTGTCCGGCAAGCCGAGAGAACTTGCAAGCCTAGGTCTTTGCAGCCATGTCGGTATGCGAGCAGAAGCATGCGGCCAACAAGGATGAAGGGGTCAACAGTCGAGTAGTTGGGGCCTGCCGCATGTCAAAATCCCGAACTCTTAGCCTAAAGGCCTAAAACCCAAGAAGTCAGAAGCTGAAATGATGTCAGGAGACGGATTCTGCCCAGCCATATCTTCGCACCTTGCCCGGTCTGAAAGCACTTGTGAGAGTGTGTGTTATTGGCGGTGTCTTGGGGTTGGTTCGGCTCTCCTGCGGTCGTGTGCAACAGCTGAACATCTTATCCGGTGTCAGCCACTGCCGATTTATGAAAGCTTCCTCTCTCCGTGTGTTTGCGCTAGTCAATCGGGCCACACTTCACATCATGTACATATGAGCGCATGTTGCGGTGGCCCTCGTTCCGAGTAGGAGCCCAGAATGAGCGGAATTCCCAATGCGTCTATGTTGACAGTGACGATGAGACCGGGATACGCTTGCAAGATGCAAGATCAGAATCGAACTTTGAACTGCGAGCCGGGGCAACCTGGTTTGGGCTTCAGGGTGCCTGGACGGTAAAGCTATGCAGGGCTCTTCGAGGTCTACCACGCGGCATCTCCAAAACCGAGCTCCACTCGGTGTGATCAAGAAGCCGTAAATACAGCGGCCAGGGTACACAGCTGCTGTGCGCTAGCTTTCCATTGCCTACACTCGAGCGCACATGATGTGTAAGCGTTGTTTCTGAGTATTTCAACACAGCACAGTTGCCGCAGTCCGGAGATCTTGGATCAGGTGCGAGGTGACGCTTGGCTGGAGTCGTTGATCGCGCCCGCAGCAGCAACCCCGATCGGGGGCTAATTCTGTCATTCTGCGACCTTAAAGTGTTTCCCTGGTCGTTTAGGCCGCACACGGATGTTGATGGAAGCCCTCTCGTTAATGGAAGCGCAACGACACAGAGTGAGCTAAGGGAATCTCCAGAGACCGAAGTGGCAGGAACAGGGGAACTCACAGGATGTGGTTTACAATTTTTCGGGTTTTACCTGTTAGCTCTTACTCCAAGTTCTCCCAATTGATTAAACATCGGTGCACAGAGGCTTCACAGATGAGAAGTTGGACAAGTGCTAGACTGTTGGATCTACGTTTCAAGAGGTTCGAGTTTTGGACCATTTCTGACGTTTCTCGCGCATGCAGTGGATCCGGCTCGCGGTATGACTTCCCCGTCCGGTAGGCCTGAGGTTTGAATCGTTCGTTCTCGTTCGGTTTTGCAGCAGATCCGAGGCATGCATGGTTTGTTGTCCATGCTGCAGGTTTGAGGTTCGCTTGTGCGGTTGCGTGCTAGGTTCGGAGATGGAGTCGTCCGGCGTGTTTCCGTCACCGGTCCAAGACGCGGAACTCAGGAACCCGGGACCGGGACAACAACAACCATAACAACAGCAATAGCAGCAGCACCAGCAGCAGCAACAGCAGCAGGAGCAGCAACAACGAAAACAACAACCACAACCAGAACGAGAAACGCGACCAAGACAACAACCAGCAACAACCAGCGACAACGACGACAGCAGCAGCGACGGCGGTGGCAACGACGACAGCAGCAGCGACGGCGGTGGCAACGACCACAGCAACACCAAAGGTACAGGAAAGGGAGACAGGACCCTGAGCCGGAACCCGAAACCCCCGACCCGCAACGCGGGACTCGGTACCCGGATCCCGAACCCGGAGACCCGGGACAGGAACCCGGAACCAGGGCCCGCGCCCCTTAGTGGCGACCTGATCGGTCTCTCTACGGCAACAGGACAAACAGCTCATCAAGTGTGTCAGCACTCTCCATGTGTGCCTGCGCACATGTGCACTCTTGCCCATTTTACGGATGCAGCACGGATGTCGGCTTAGGACGCTGGACCGACATGCCTGTCGTAACCCGCTCGTGACACAATACAAATCTTCGCAGTTCATTGTTTGTTCTTCTGCAGCGAACTTTGGTTCTATTGAGAAATTAGCGCTTGAACGTCCCAAAGCGTAGTGGCGAAAGAATCCAAGTTTGTGTTGGTGGGAATGCGCACCTCGTTTGACTGACAACGTTCGGGGACCACGATGTTGAGTTGGTAGCTTGCACCGTGGCTGGTTTCGATGAAAGAATTGCGAAGTACCACAGAGGTAGCAATCGTTTCTAAGAGTTCAATCTTGTGTTTGCGTTTGAACAGCTTGGAGTTTCTTGGTCTTCGGTCTCGAAATCTCGAGTCCTTTGTCGGATGGGTTATGCACGTAAGCTACTGACCTATTGATGAACTCATGTTATTGCTGATAGCTGATAGTTCAATTAAACAGGAGTCGGCACCAGTGGCACTATCAGTTTGCAGTTGAACATCAGTTATGACGACTCATGCCGCAATGTTTGACACGAAATGTGGCGTTTCTTCTTGTGTTCTCAG